CAGGAACTTTATAGTTTTAGGTTTAACATTTAGGTTTTGATCCATTTTGAGTTAGTTTTTATGTATGGTGTGAGGTATGGATCCTGTTTAATTTTTCCGCAAATGGATATCCAGTTTCCCCAGCACCATTTGTTAAAAAGACCCTCTCTTCCCCAATCAATGGACTTCGACCCTTTGTGGAAGATCGGCTGTCTGTAGGTGGATGGATTTACTTGTGAGTTTGTAACCGGATGCTTCCAGGTCTGCTCAGTGTGGCTAGAAAGACACGAAGCAGTGAAAGTGGAAGAAGAAGCTTTATTTAGTTGGCCAAGTAAAGGAGCCCACCTGGACTTGTGTTGCCAAGGTGGTCCCTGAACAATCGCTCTAGAGGTTTATATGGGTACAGTAAAATTGGGTCTGTGGTCTTTAGGGGCGCCCCTAGGTGGAGTCAGCCTGCTGATTGGTTTGGCCCATAAAGGCGTTCCTGGGGCGGTCTGATCTTCTGCGCCTGCTCAGTATAAGAGGGGGCCCACAAAGATGGCATTTTGCCCACGTCCGTGGTGTAGACGGAGTGTGTGTTTCAGCCTCTGACGTCCATAGGTCATCCAAGCGACTCGGTTGTTGGTACTGCGCATGTCAGGCGGGCAAAACCTGGTTCCAGATCAGTTTTGACTGGTCTTGAGACCACAGTCTCTTGTTTCTTCTTAACTGAACCAGAACCGGGAGTATACCTAAATAAGGACCTATCTTAAAGACGGGGTTAGTTTCTACATTACCTAATAAGGAGATAACTTACGTGCAAAGAGTTAGTTCTCATTTCACATAGGATGGCAGGCACCACCCCTTGCTTATTCAAGATGGTGGGCGTGCTATGAGCCTCAGGTTCTCAGTTCTGTTCATTTGATCTATGTGGCTGTATAGTAAGTTCTGAGATCCGGAAATATGAGGTCTCCTACTTTGCTCTTCTTCTATTAATAAAACGTTAGCTATTGGGTACCTCTTTCCTTTCTGTATAAAACTGGTGATTAGTTTTTCCATTTGCTTATTTCTTATGAGTAAGATCATACAGTATTTATCCTTTCAATAGTATTTTCAGTGGCTGATTTTTCTGAAATAGATTGCCAGACCTTTTTCCAAGATACCTGTGTTGTTGGCTGTGGCCATCAAGTTGATTTTGGCTGCTAGTAACTCTGTATAACAGAGTAGAACTACCTCACAGGGTTTCCTAAACTATAATCTTTACAGGAGCAAATCGCCAGGTCTTTTCTCCCACGGAGTGGCTGGTGGATTCAAACATCGACCTTTTTGTTAGCAGCCAAGTGCTTAACCATTGTGCTACCAGGGCTTCTTAAGTTGCCTCTAACCAAACCCAAACCCAAACCCGTTGCCGTAGAGTCAATTCTGACTCATAGCGACCCTATAGGATTTCCAACGCTGTAATCTTTATGGAAGCTGTCTGCCACATCGTTCTCTCACAGAGCGGCTGGAGGGTTTAAACCACTGACCTTTCGGTTAGCAGCTGAGCGCTTAACCACTGCGCCACCGGTGCTCCTTAAGTTGCCTCTTTAAACAAAAAAAAAAAAAAAATCCATTGCCATTGGGTCTATTCCGACTCATAGTGACCCTATATATAGGACAGAGATGAGCTGCCCCATAGGGTTTCCAAGGAGGGCCTGGTGGATTCGAACTACTGACCGCTTGGTTAGCAGCCATAGCTCTTAACCACTACACCCCCAAGGTTTCCAAGTTGCCTCTGGGTGGACTCAAACCTCCAACCTTTCAGTTGGTGTTAACTATTTGCACCACCTACCCTTCTGTCTCTTCATTACTCATCTTAATTTCTTCCTGAAGGCTCAGTTTTCCTCACCTCCCTGGGGAGGTCGTCAAAAGGGAAATACTGGCACCATCCCTGAATTAAGACTCCTCCTGATGCTAGTAGATGGTTTTACAGATTTCCATACAAGTGGGAGGAGGTTAAGCCCAGTTCTGCGTTACCCAAGTGTGGGTGACGGCTTGTGGGAACTCATTTTCCTAGTCTGTACTTCTTCTGGAGACTTTTTGGGGGACACAGAGAGACCCTATATAAACACGCTTGTCAATTGGATGGTCAAGGGTAAGGGAGAAACTATGACCCGAGTGAAAAAGGTGTCTGGGTTCCCATATACATTGGGTGTAAGAAGTATTTTGAAAAGATGTAGTTGATGAGGGTCTATTTATGGTAACTGGAAAGTCCACTGTTACCCCAGGTTTTCCCTTCTAAGCTTTATAACAGGAACAGCCCCCTTTATTTCTTCCTTCCACCTCCCCATCATCTTTCTCTATATATACATGTTTTGTCCATGATGAAGCCAAAAAAATCCTATATTTTTCACAATATTTATCCAACTGCTGGAGATGTCCCAAGTCATTGCTATAAATGATGTACGCTAATGCCATAAAAATGGAGGGGGAGGTGGCAGAACCCCTGTCAAGCCAGACAGCCAAATAGATCTGAGAGCCAGCAGTGCCCCCTTGTGCTCCTTCCCTCAGATACCCCTGGATCTGCTCTTCTAGGTTTATGTCAGTCAGCTCGGAGACTGGGCAGCCTGGACAGACCCTGCTCTTTCTCATCTACCCTCAGCCAGTTCCTGGAGTTACCGTATTTATTGGAAATCCACGATCTGCCAAAGGTCCATACAGGAACTGTTGTGGGGGTAGAGATGAGAATTGTCATTGAGCTTACGCCCAGAGGAAATAATTGTGACTTTATTCTAATATGTCATTTGTTATTTTAAGTTATAATTTAGTTGCTATTTTACATTCCCGACTATGCGTTTGGTGTTATAAAGAATCCGTACTCTATTTTGATGCAGAGTTTGAATACTAAATAACTGGAAGATGAGCTTCTGCAAGAACATTATGAAACAATGTGTCTTCTGTATCCTGTGTGCTAGGTTTCTTGGGCATCCCAGATTGTATCAAAGTAACCACTTCACACTGTCCAATCTGATTGAGCCTGTGTTCCACAAAGATACAGAGATACTCAGGGTCTTGCCCAGAAGCTTCAGGAATGCCAGATCTCCTCATGTTGCACTTTGATTGATGTTGATTTCATGAAGACCTTTCATTCCGAATTTCACTTGGTTCGTTGTAACCCGTCTTAGACTGCCTGCCGTCGGCATTACAGTTACTTTCCAGCTTTGTGGCATCCCCAAGAATTACCTTCTGTGACTTAATTCAGTGCATTGAGAAGAGGGTTAACTAGGATAAATCAAGGTAGAACCGAATGATGTTAATAAATAGTGATCTGTGCTCATTTAGTGACAGCTCTTCAGACTGATAGCTATTGTCTCTCCCTTGTGAATGAAAACTATCCCTTCATCTTGAAATCGGCAGCCTCCTTCCCTCCCTCTCTGCGGATGCGTCCTCCCACCCAGCATCTGGGGACCATCGATAAGAGTCCATTAGAAAGCCTTTAATTTTTCAATTAAATCAGTAATAATAGATATAATTTTATGTCATCTTTCAGTTTCATTACAAAACAAAAAAGGAGAGGAAACAACCAAAAAATAAGGCCAACGACTCAAGATAAATATATTTTAAAGCCATTTTCCGATCGCTGTATTACTTTAGTTTTATCTGAAGCAAGTTCACCTCCTGATGATTGACCGTGTGGTCCGTTTAGCACAGTTTTCCTTACGTGCTGTGGAATTTTAGTTTGCACGCTCAGCTCGAGAGAGAGTAACCCCTCCAGCCGCGTGACCCACCACACACACGTACAGGCACTTAAGTCTCGGCCATCGCTTTTACTTTCCCTTATTCCATGTCGCCATGCGTCATCAGCTGAGACTCCCCTGCCCCACTCAGGTACTGGGGACTCCACAACCCAGGACGGCTTGTGCAGCCCACTTTCTGAGGTCAGACCCTGCCACTCTCCCTGTCTGGGGACACTGTTAGAACCCGTCTTCCCTCTAGCTTGAGAGCGCTGGACATTTTCTGCCAGCTCCCGATCCGGGCACAGGGACCTTCATTTCCACTCAGCCTTATGATTTCTGTTGTGTTTATGAGGATCCCTGTGTTTGGACACCTCTTCTTATATTTTATGTATTGGGGATGGTGTGCTAGGTGGGGAGAGAGAACCTCTGAATGTGAGTTTATATCATATTGACCAGCCCTGGGAGATTCAATCTCTGGGTGGTGCCTATGGTTGACAGTTAACTACTAACCTAAAAGCTGGCTGTTCGAACCCACCCAGTGGCACCGCAGAAGAAAGGCCTGATGATCTGCTTCTGTGAAGATTACAGCCAAGAAAATCCTATGGAGCACAGTTTTACTCTGTGTCTTAGTCATCTAGCGCTGCTATAACAGAAACACCCCAAGTGGATGGTTTTAACGAAGAGAAGTTTATTTCCTCACAATTAAAGTAGGCTAAAAGTCCAAATTCAGGGCGTCAGCTCCAGGGGAAGGCTTTTTCTCTCTGTTGACCTTCTTCTCTTCAGTGTTCCCCCGGACTAGGAGCTTCTCTGCACAGGGACCCCAGTCCAAAGGACGCCCTCTGCTCCCAGCACTACTTTCTTGATGGTATGAGGTCGCCCTGTCTCACTGCTCACTTCTGTCTTTTATATCTCAAGAGATTGCCTCAGGACACAACCCGGTCTTGTAAATTGAGTCCTGCCTTACTAACACAACTGCCACCCATTCTCCCTCATTAACATCATAGAGGCAGGATTTACAACATACAGGAAAATCACACAGGACCAGGAATCATGGCCCAGCCAAATTGATAAACACACATTTTGCAGGGACATAATTCAATCCATGACACTCTGTAACACATGGGGTTGCCATGAGTCGGAAGCAACTCAATGGCAAAACATTTTGGGTTTCTGTTTTCTCGTTATTTTGTTGTTGTTAGATTTAGTGCTTGGAGAGAGAGCAAAAACGGAAGCAGTCCCTCGGTGTGGTTTATCAAAGGAGCACCAGGCAGTGCTTTCTCCCGACCTTTCTAAAGCTTGCTCTCCCGTGATCCTTCTCCTCCACAGGTTATTTTCTGAATTTCCTGGAGCCAGTAAACAATATAACCATCGTCCAGGGGCAGACGGCGATCCTGCACTGCAAAGTGGCGGGGAACCCACCCCCCAACGTGCGGTGGCTAAAGAATGATGCCCCGGTTGTGCAGGAGCCCCGGAGGATCATCATCCGGAAGACGGAATACGGTTCTCGGTTGAGGATTCAAGACTTGGACACCACAGACACTGGGTACTATCAGTGCGTGGCCACCAACGGGGTGAAGACCATCACGGCCACTGGCGTCCTGTTTGTGAGGCTTGGTGAGTGCTACCATGGAGGGTGTGTCTCTTGACAGATAGGACGCCCGCTTTGAACAGTCCCAGCCACCGAGGGAGATGCTAATTTGCAATTTGAAACTGAACACACACAACTCAACATGAAAGAAAATCTATAAAACCATTCCCCAAAGCGTTTCCTATTGCGTCCGAGACCCTGGCTTAACCTGTTAGCTGTTTACCAGTCATAAAAGGCAGTAGATGCAGATGGAATGGGCTATAAACGTGGTCCACAGAGCAGATACCCAGGCACACGGAGTTGTTGACAGAATGTGGCTTTCAGCTCAGGCCTCTTGTTTCCAGTATCTTTCCATGGCACCATGTTTAGTTTGGGGAGATTTTCCTCTGATTATCAGATGTTCTGTGTGCCGTGACATCTGAGGAAAAGGTTGCGTTTCAGGAGGTCAGAGATTCCTGTCAAGGTACAGGGCAGCCAGGTTTCGAGGGAGAATAGATGAGTCTGAGGCAGGCCTCGCGGGCACTGAGATTGTTCTATAAAACTGAGACGCGCACATCTCCACCCCACAGAGACCCGAACTGAGCTGAAAGAGAGGGCATTAGTAACGATGCTACACTCTTTGGGCTCCCCACGAGGACGGAAGGGGATTAAATGGCAGGAAGGAATGTATCCCCCTATCATCAGAATCCCTGGGTGGTACAGATGGTTAACACACTTGGCCGCTAACTGGAAGGTTGGCTATTCGAGTCTATCCCAGAGGTGCTTTGGAAGAAAGGCCTGCTGATCTACTTCTGAAAAATCAGCCGTTGTAAACCTGATGGAGCCCAGTTCTCCTCTGACACACATGAGGTCGCCATGAGTCAGAGTCAACTCTGGGGCGACTGGTTTTTGGTTCTTCAGAGTTCTGAGAGAGGTCCCAGGCAACCCCCAAGTCCTGTCACACAAACCCCAGACCGTGTTATCTCAGGTTTGTAAAATACACTTGACGTATCAAGATAAACCTATAAGATTAGAAGAGCAAGAGGAGAGAGAGCAAAAACTCCCAGAACATCTCCAGAAGTCTCTGCATGAGCAGAAAAGCACCCCTTCCCTTCCTTGGGGTTTCCAGGGTCACTGGCACATAATCACAGGCAAGCAACGCAGATAGAGCCCAAGGCCAGAGGCCCATTCACCACAAATGAGCGTATTGCGTTTAGCCGCGTTATCGTTGGCCTGATGTGAAAACTCTTTTATTCCAAATCATGAAGTCTTAATAACTTGTTCTTTTGTTTTGTTTTATCCTTCTAGGTCCAACACACAGCCCAAATCATAATTTTCAGTAAGTATCTTTCATTCCCATCATTTTCTGAGCCTCCAAAGGTTTCCACTCTGTAAGAATCCAGGTTAGAAATCTGGCAAACGCCACTTGTACTTCCCACAAGTCTTGGCTGAATTTAATAGAAGTTGGCGGGACTTCACGTGAGGATGGCACTGTGCTTGGTTTGGGCTGATAAAAATCCTCTGGGGAACTTTTGCGTTTTCCACGTTTAATGTAAAGAAAAGATGTCACACACACACACGAAAACTGTTCATTTCTGTCTGCGCTCATGACCTGATACAAGCGATATTTAGACCAGATTGCTAAGACCACCAGAATATATAAAGCTATTTGAAAACATAGAGGTAGTTCTCACTCTGAAATCCCAGCACTACCAATAACTGCATTTATAGGTGCAATTTATAAAATGGGTACCCATGAGCCTCAGGAAACCCTCTGAGATACGCGAGATGTCAAACCCGTTTTAAAGATGGGGAAATGGAGGCTTGGAGCCTTGCTTGGTATTCTGTGGTGAGTTATTGACAGAATTGGCTATGTGCCCAAGCCTCTTGTTTCCCAATACCATGCCTTTCCACTGCACCGCATTTTATTTTGGGGAAATTTTCCTCTGATTGTCTAACGTTCTGACATCAAGTAAATGTGTTATTACTCCTTTTTTATTGCCTGTATTTAAGATTAGCAATGACTATTGAATTCCTGTCATTTCCTGTACTGCTGGAGAGTGAGCAGTTGAGTTTTAAGTGTTGTCAACAATAACACAAACACGATGTAGTTGATTAATTAAGCACTGTTTGCTTGTTCACATTTCACTGATGCCTGATAAACATTACTTGTTGGGATGATGATCTGTTGGGGAATTGGACGAGGGAGATACCCTTCTGAGCATCCGTCAAGGTGACTTTATATAGAAGGCAGGTTTTTGAGAATGTTCTGTCCTCAGTAGGAGTTAAAAAGTATTTCACCTTAATAATCCTTCATGGAGAATAAATGAAACGTGAGTGTCTTAGTCATCTAGTGCTGCTCTAACAGAAATACCACACGTGGATGGCTTTAACAAAGAGAAGTTTATTCTCTCACAGTCTAGGAGGCTACAAGTCCAAATTCAGGGCACCAGCTCCAGAGGAAGGCTCCCTCTTTCTGGAGGATGATGGTCCTTGTTATCAGTCTTCCCCTGGTCTAGGAGCTTCTCAGCGCACAGACCCCAAGTCCAAAGGACATGCTCTGCTCCTGGCACTACTTTCTTGGTGGTATGAGGTCCCGCTGTCTCTCTGCTTGCTTCTCTCTTTTATATCTCAAAAGAGATTGACTCAAGATATAACCTAATCTTGTAGAGTCGGTCCTGCCTCATTAACATAACTGCCTCTAATCCTGCCTCATTAACATCACAAAGCTAGGATTTTCAACACATAGGAAAATCACATCAGATGACAAAATGGTGAACAATCACACAGTACTGGGAATCATGGCCTAGCCAAGTTGACACACATTTTGGGGGGACCCAATTCAATCTGTAACAGTGACTAAAGAAGAAATTGTACCAAGGTCACATTTTATAAGGCTTTGGAAGACATAGAAATCATTTCAGAAGTTGACTCATTATTTTTCTTTTATTTGAAAATACTTTTACTTTGATTTTCTTCTCATTGTTTATAGATTACACTGACATGATCCTGTAAATAATACCTGCCTTGCCCATAAAGAGAAAGTTCTGTCTGACCACCCGGTCTGTCTCTGTCTTTCCACTTCCATGGTGATTTGATTGTATCAGACCAGGGTTTTCCTCAGCATGTAATACATGTACGTACCTAGAGAAATACGTCAGCTCACCTTGATTTACTGTTTCACATAAGTGATGTTATACTTGGTGTGTTTAATTAACAGCACGTCTTAGAGATCTATGTCAGTATATTTAAATTCCCCTGATCTTCTTCTTTCCTCTCTATAACATTCCATGTAGCGTTTAACTATTCCCCTTAACCAGTTGCTGTCGAGTCGATTCTGACTCATGGTGACCCCACGTGTGTCAGAGTAGAACTGCACCATAGGGTTTTCAGTGGTTGGGACCTTTCGAGAGTAAATCAATAAGCCTTTCTTCCCAGGTGCCTTGGAGTGGACTCGCATCTCCAGCCTTATGGTTAGCAGCTGAGCGTATTAACTGTTTGCATTACCCCCTCCACAAAAAATAAAACAAAACAGAAACCGAACCCATTGCTATCGAATCCATCCCGACTCATAGTGACCCTAAAGGACAGAGTAGAACTGCCCCATAGGGTTTCCAAGGAGCAGCTGGTGGATTCGAACTGCCGACCTTTTGGGTAGCAGCCCAGCGCCACTGCTCCACCAGGGCTACCCAAGGACTCCTAACTTTTCCCCTGTTGTTTTTGTATCCCCGTAGTGGTAAGAATTTGAGTCGTTTCTCTGATTTTGTCCTAACTCTGCACAGGCCCCTGGGACCCTTGTATGAGAGTTTTTGTAAGGTCGATTTTGAGAAGTAAAACATGCTGGGTCAGAGGACTTAATGTTTTTATAATTAATGCTACCAAATGGTCCTTTTCGATTTACGTCCCCGCCACAGCAGAAGAGAACGTTTTCTCCTTATCTTATGTAAGATTTTTTTCCAAATTTGTTAATTTTTGCCAGTCTGAAGGATGAAAAATGCATTTAACCTGTTGTGTTCTGCATCCTCCTTTATGAGTGAGTTTGAGCACGTTTAAGTTGATTCTTGCCATTCATATTTCCTCTTTGTCAGTCGCCTCTCCGTATCCTTTGTCCATTTTCCCTTTACGTTATTCATTTCTTAATGTTTTTTAAGCGTTCTTTATGTCTTATTTTTTGATGTTATAGGCATTTTAAATTTTGTGTCATTCATCAATAACTGTATGGGTTTTTCATACTGTCTTATTAAAGAATGCCCTGATTTCCATGAAGAATTCTGACGGGATTTTGATTGGAATTACACTGAATGTTTAGATAAATTTGGTGAGAATTGATATCTGAATTAAATTTCCCTATTAAGGACCATTTCATGTTTTAATATATTCTTTTTTGCCCTGTTGTTTTATTATGAGAAATTTCAATTTGATTCAGTTTTATTATGAGAAAAAACAAAAGCGTAAAGAATTGTATAGTATATAGTGTACTATAAATAATATATATGAATGTATAATAATATATTAATGTTAATTTTAGTTAATTATTATTAATACAAGAATACAGCAATAGTATAATAAAATACTGCATAAATAAGTAATTTTATAGGTGTATGGAACATCCATATACCTACCATCTAGATCCTATCATTAATATTTTACTACACTAGCTTTATCACATATGTTTCCGTTTATCCACCCCTCTCATCTATCCATCGTGGTCCCTGGGTGGTGCAAACAGTTTGCGCTTGGCTGCTAACCAAAAGGTTGGCAGTTCAAACCCACACAGCAGCACCATGGAAGAAAGGCCTGGCGATCTGCTTCCATAAAGATTACAGCCAAGAAAACCTTATGGAGCAGTTCTACTCTGTAACACATAGGGTTGCCATGAATCAAAATCGACTCAACACCAACAGGTTTGGCTCTTTGGTTCTATCCATCCATCAGTCCATCTTATTTTTTTATTCATTTCAGCGTAAGTTGCAGATATCTGTACTCTAACCCTGAAACACTTCAGCATGGATATCATTAACAAGAGTTCAGTATCTGTTACTGTTCTCGTTTCTTCTTTTTGAGGTAAAATTGACATACAATGAAGTACACAAATCTTAAATATATCATTTATAAGGTTGACAAATCCATAAACCTCTGCAGTCCAAACCCCTATCCAGTCACAGAGCATTTCCATCACTCTAGAAAGTTCCTTCATGCAGCTTCCTGGTCAGCCCCCACCCCACGTGAACACTTCTGATTTTCTTTCTACACCTTGGACGGTTTTGCCTGTTCTGGAGCTCGTGTAAGTGGAACCCTACAGTATGGAGCCATTTGAGCTCGATGTCTGGAGTCCCTCGGTGCTGCAAACGGTTTAGCACTTGACTACTAACCGAAAGGTTGGGTGTTCAGATCCACTCAGAGGCACCTCACAAGAAAGAACTGGCAATCTACTTCCAAACGCTCTCAGTCACGAAAACCCTATGGAGCACAGTTCTACTCTGACAACACAGGGATCCAAAAGATCTCAGTCTTGAAAACCGTATGGGGCACAGTTCTACTCTGACAACACAAGGATCCAAAAGCTCTCAGTCTTGAAAACCCTATGGGGCACAGTTCTACTCTGACAACACAAGGATCCAAAAGCTCTCAGTCTTGAAAACCCTATGGGGCACAGTTCTACTATGACAACACAAGGATCCAAAAGCTCTCAGTCTTGAAAACTCTATGGGGCACAGTTCTAGTCTGACAACACAAGGATCCAAAAGCTCTCAGTCTTGAAAACCCTATGGGGCACAGTTCTACTCTGACAACACGTGGAGCCGCCGTGAGTCAAAATCCACTCAACAGTGACTTGTTTTTGTTTTTCTTTCACTTAATGTTTTTGAGATTCATCCATGTTCTTCAGGTTTCAATAGGTTGTTTCTGTTCATTGCTGAATAGTGCTCCATGATCTGAATATTCCAGTTGATTTATCCATTCCTCTGTTGATGGACACCTGGGCTGGATCCAGCTTTTGACTATTAGGAATAAAGCGACTGTGACTATTTTGTACAAGATTTTTTGTTTTTGTTTTTTAAGCCTATATTTTCATGTCTGTTAGGTAAATACCTAGGAGTGGAATTTCTGGGTCATAGGGTATGTGTGTGCTTCGTTTTATAAGAAATCACCACATTGTATCTCTGCACTCCCACCAACAGTGTGTAAGAGTTATAGTCGTTCCACATAATTGCCAACATTTGTGATGGCCTTTGAAAAAAATGTTAAGCTATTCTGATGGGTGTGGGGTGGTACAAGTGATCTTTTATGTCATGTTAGCTTCTTGAAAAAGTAATTTTTTATTAGTCATTTTTTTATTTT